ATCTCTAGTCGTAACTGCGAGGCGACAGTAGCACGGGGCAATTGACGCCATGACTCCCATGGCGTGAGTCACTGTGCGCTATGACTTGGCAGCTGGCACCATAAACTAAACCTACTGACATAGTTTCATGCCAAACAATTAAAGTGATACACTCGTTGCTTATAGGATGGCAGAGTAAAATGGCATTGTTGTTCTTTGTTTAATAAGTTAATGATTAGATATAAGTCATATATTATGTAGTATTAAAGTTTTAGAAAAAAGTATTCTAATACTATACTCATAGGTATTTTATTTTATACTTTGTACCGTTTTTCTGTGTTTTGGGTAATTTTTAATAGGATTTAGTACGAGTAACTCAGCTTGGTTACGAACAGATATGTTGATTATAATAAAATGTATCGAGATTAGTTATACTTGTACCTTAACACATCAATGTGGACGAGTCCTAATAGTAAAAAAAACTTCATTATCTTGCTAAAGAAACTTGAAATTTACCAATTTTTACATATTTGAAAAGTGTTGCTATTTATGTATTCTCAGACCTCAGTCCTGCAACAGACATAGCGCTATAAATATAATCTATAGTAAAAGTATAGCAATAAACATTATCATACTAATAAGTTATGTTGAATATTAAAAACCTGGTTTAAAATGCAAACTTTTCGCTCCCCAGACCCGCTTCGTTATAACGTGAAATAAAAATTTTATGTCCACAGCTTCTAAAGTAAAATTTTATTTTAGAAATATGTTTAAATATAAACTTTAGAAGATTTTTATTATTATGATATGAGAATAAAAGTTAATTTAACGAGTTTCAAGTTAATGTTTTTGTTTAAATTGTAAGAGCTAAATACTTGTTAATACAAAAATTGCTATTCACTTATTACATAGATGTCATACTTTCTCTACAACACAATTTACAACGTAAAGAAGAAGATACTTGTTCGGGAATCGAACTTGAAACTTACGAATATTTCACATAATTCTGTTACAAGCTTCCACAATCGGCTTGTTTAATTAAATCTTATCTCTCACGTAACTATGTAATAACAGTTCTTTATATTAAAATATCCGAACGCCATTGATTTTAGCATGTAAACAAAAATAACCCCGTTCTATTATAATAAAGTAGTACACAGGATATATTATCTACATAACACAACGAAAATACGTAAATTCTACGTTGAATGCGACGATGTGCTGAATCAGTGCGCGACGTTGCCGCTTCGTGCGCCGCGCTCGCTCGGGCGCCATGTTGCCGCCCCGCGCGGCGCCGCGTTGCCGCTCCGACCAATACCATTCATACAATTAATAAACTAAACCCGCGATCGTGAATCTTTTGACTTTTCACAAATACAGATTATATAATGGGAAATGTTTTGTTTTTTTTTGTTAAGAAACCTCTTTTGGTTATTTTAGTTGTCATGTTTGATTTTTTTATGAATGTGATATTTGTCTAGAAATTAGACTAGACTCAAGAGTTTTGAAGTTATAAAATTAAATTCAAAATTACCGCTCAATCTCATTCGTGTCTTCCTCACAAAACGTCAACCAGTGTCAACTGGCAGAATGAATTGCGTGTGTTAAAGCAGCTCTAAGCCATAAAGAAAAAAAATTAAATTGATAGAGAATAACATTATAGATAATTTAAAATAGTATTGTGGTCAGTCTTGATATTTAAAAATTACAAATAAAACTACTTCAGTAAATAACTGTGCCATGGTTGATATTTTCACTTATTGTTTTCTTAGCTTTGTATAATGAAATGAAAAAGCGGGTTTAGTGTTACATTTTAGCGTTAGACCAACTGTCGTCCAATTAAATTTTATTTATGAGGAATAATAATTAAATCTGAGAAAGTTAATTACAAAGCATGTAGCAATAACTGCTGTAATCTCTCGTCCAATTATCCAATTAAGATGTGATTAAGCAAGGAAATATCTTAGCCGTAGGTATTTCTGTTCCACGGCGCCTAATAACGGGGCAATTCTCTGGAATAAAAGTAATATAACCCTCTGATGGGCCAATTTCCGCAGCCGAAGGGTTAATTTTTGTTCATTTTGTAATCATGGATAGCTTTATATATTCATGGATAGCTTTATATATTCGATATATTCGATATCTAATTTTATTTTTTTCGAAATTCGACTAGAAGACTACGAAATTGTATAGAGTTTCAGTATTCGCGCTCTGAGAAAGATAATTAAATGTAAAAGGAAAATGATACTTTGAACATACACTATAACACCACTTGCCTCCATAAATTCTTAGAAATATATAACGACGAAATTCATGCAGCGTGACAATCTCACCGGATTTATAAAGCTATAAATTGCTTCAATATTTCTTATTAAGATTTTACGCCGACATATTTGCGCCGTGTATCAATCAACCATCCTAATGAAATATGTATGTATGCCGTAGTACTGTAATGAAAAAAAAACCACTTTTCTCAGAAATCACAATAGAGTCACATTCTTATCTGCGTTATTGTATTCGTAAACATCTAGAAGTTTCTTTTACAACTTAACAAGAATAGGTATCGACCTTCGTGTTTCTACGGCTTTCTGTACAGGTTTTGGCATTATGCAAACGAGCTGGTATTGTCGAAATTGCCTGTTGTTTGGTAGATTTTTTTTATTCTTTTAGGTATAAGGAATGGAGAATGTAATCTTGTGAAGGTATAAAAGATTTCAGCACCTGGATTTAAAGTTTCCGCTAATGATGTGTTAAAAAGTTTAAAGTTTAAAAATAAAATTGTAAAAGAAAAAGTAGTGTATTCTAAGCTATAAAATTTGATCATGCCTTCGATAGAACGCAATAAACTCCAATAATAAAAATAAATGAGTTTTAAAATTGCACTATCGAATGCCAATAATAGATAGAAATGGACCAAGTTTGTATTGGGATTGTCTATAAAAGCAAAATAGAACGCTTACATCGTATAAACTGCTCTGATTTTAATTCGGTGGTGAAAGTATGTTCTCTTAAAATATTTTTTTCTCTTAAAATTTCAAGATTTAAGTTATTATTTGAAAATATTTGCTATATAGCAGTACCCGCGGCTCCCCCCGCGTTCAATCTTCCGATCACTAACAAACTTCATATGATCAAAATTTTCATCAAAATCGTTCCAGCGATAGGGAACAACTTACACATCGACTTTTGTAATATTATACACTTTTATAATATTGACTTTTATAATATTATGTATTTCATTTATTTGTTTTAAGGAATATATACCTAGTTGCAGGACAGCAAGAATTGTACTTGACTGTGCCTAGTAGTCGTAGGTAAATTAGGAACCTTACTTTCGATCTTTAAAGTAATAGAATTTATATCAGTCGAAATGTAATAAATGCTACAAAAACATCATGCAATAATTCTAACATGTTCCCCGCTCGGTTAACGTATACCCACGTTTTTCTTACATTTGTTTCGATTTTGCATATTGGAACACCTTCAGTGGTTGTAGAGAAATATAGATAACATGAAATTATAAATAGGTATATGACGTTACATGTCTTTTAATTAAAAGATATGTTAAAGCGACGGCCTACGCTAGTCTAGTTTCAACTTATATATTCATAACTTGATGTCGATCGCATTCACTTTCATAGTAAAGTGCTACTTTATTTTACGTCTAGGAAGACGTCGTTATCAGTGTGGGTTTTTTTTTTGTTTTTAATACTCTCTGTATTAGTTAGATTTTGGTACGTTTGTCATCTTCATTTCTTCATTTTTCATTTTCGGCAAATAATCAAAAATAATATTATTATCACATTGTTCTTTGTCAAAAGGTTTATGGTGTTATTTACATACGAGAATCAAACGCGCTATAACAGTCACACGTAACACAGCGACAGTGGTAGTTTTTTTTATAACTTTTGGTATTTTCTATAAATTAAGAGTAGAATATTTTTCATATCGGTACCTTAATTGGCAAACCAGCTCCATATGAGCAAATTTTTCAGCACTTAAAACTACAATATTTTTGATATACTTACTAAAAAAAATCTAAAACCGTTAGTAGAGAACATCGTAAACTGTTATTTTTGATACAGTAAAATCCTACTAAAATAATCCTACTGAATTACTCTTCCGTACAAACTAAATCAAAAAATATTTTTTGACGAAATGTGTTGGCTGGTTTGCCAATTAAGGTATCGATATGTATATATATACATATATATTATATATAGGACTTGAATATACGTTCCGGTGCGGATAAGGTTGCTAGCATCGTGAAAGTCAATACCGGCGATAGTAACTCGAGTCGATCACACGGCGCAGTAGCTATGCTACATGCCCGGCTGTGTGGAAAAATATTTGTACACCTGTCCTAAACAAACTGAATATTAACGAAGTTTTCATATTATTTTTATGTCATCAAATCATTGAACAGAAAATATAAAATGTAATAAAATTATTAATTCTGTTTGGAAATTTCTAAATGAGAATGTAGGTGCTTGTTATTTATTTTATTATATAAATTAACAATAAAGAATAAATTCAATCAAAATAAATAACATAATATTCGTAAAGGTGTGTTCGAGAGAACAATGACGTTAGAAAATCGTAAAATATATGATTGAATATGAAACTATTTGGTTTTCATTCACGCAAAAAGGCCCCACTCGTCGAGTATGTCAATTATGTTAAAATTTGACATTCAATATAAAAAAAACAAATCAAATTTTATGCATATTATATTAAATTTTACCTACATATTAAATTGTAGTAAATTATTAATACCTAAGTTATGAATGATTAGCTGTTTGAATACTATATTACAAAAATAACAATAAAAAAATTGAAATGTCATAGCCAATTGCGATCAGTCAGTCAAGTTATGAACGTTTGCCAAATATGATTTTTTTTTAATATTTAATGTTTATATATATCTTACACGTTTACCAGAATATATAATTATGTCAAACAAATGTAATACTGTTCTTGCGCAAAAACAATTACAATTGATTAAAAGAAAACATCGTTTACATCCCTTCATTTATCTTGACAGAATGTTTGTTTAAATTTCCAAGCTCAGCTTCAAACAAAACTTCATTTATTGCTTTCTCAGCAAAAATTCTCTGAGTGTTGCTCAACCTTTCTAGCTTCTCTGTCCAGTAGATTGCAGTCGCGTTGGATCTTGTTGGCTGAGATGTTGAGAACATGCAAGGTTCGTGTAGCATTTCATTGCTTCTGTCTTCACTTTCTCGATGTTTGATAGACGTCAACTCGATTGGGTCAGGAATATCACAATCAGACGACGAATAGGCCCTTGGCCGTAAGTAGATGGGAGATTCCGCTGTTACATTCGGTTTTCTTTCTACGCAATCAGAATTGATTGATGTGTCTTGAGTTTGATTCAACTGTAAAAATGTACAAGGTATAAATAACTAAACAATAATAATATACATATATATATATATATATATATATATATATATATATTAAGTTTTATAAGTATCAAGTACATACCTCTGATACTATTTCGTTGTCTTTATTCAAAAAATGTAAATACTTGAAGGCCCAACCCTTCGGTACGTGAACGTTTCCTGCTTTTTGATAAGCGATTATCTTCCTAAGTTCACGGCGATAATTCGTTCTAATAGTGTTAATTTTTCTCTTAACTTCAAACACGGTCGCTTCAGGGGTTCGTCTCTTTAAAATTTCAAGTAGCTGTTTCAGAGCTTCCATTCTTTTGTATTTGTTGGTGTAATGCGTGTGTTTTTTATCCCATAGTATCGGTAATTTTTCGAATTCTAGTATGAAAGCTTTTTCTATGGTGAGATTGGGTGTGGCGGGGCGCGGGGATGTGGGGGGTGACGGGGTGCGGGCGGCGGTCGACGACGGCGTGCGAGCGTCCGACGCCATCGCACTGCGAGCGCCGAGCGCTGACTGAAGCGAGATTGACGGTCTTGTGGACAAAGCGTCAATCATTCTAACTATTTATTTATCGTTATATTGGAGAACCACGTATACCGGCATATTTGCTTAGGGTTCTCAAATGAAAGAAAATATTAAAAGTACCCCAAATAATTTTAACATTTACTATACAAAATATACATATTTTTTAAAAAAAATGGTTGTATAAAGTGCATAGAGATAATAGTAAAATGCTATAAGCAATTAAATTATAATGTGTGTACGTAAGCGTAAATTATTTACAATGTTTGAAAAGACTGTGAATCTAAAATAAAAATATTAATTATTTTAGATTGACAGTCTTTTCAAACATTATTATTAATCAATCCATCAATCAATCCGAATAAAATAGGTAACTACAGATGTGGTAACTCTTATCTTTTTGCTTTAATGTTTTATTTATACTACTATTTATGAATTGTATTATAAGAAAATTTCTCGTTATACTTTTAAATATCACGGTTGGTGATCAGTAGTTTGTTTCTATGATAATATTACAATCATGTGAACTGTGTGTAATTTGTTATTATTTCAGTTTTACTATGATATCGGAGGTTTTTAAAATGGCTATAATTAGGTAGTTAAGAGTTACTCTTCGTATGCAAAACCCAATGATGCTTTTTTGATGTACAAATGCGTACTTACCTCTATTGTAGACAGTGTCGAATAGATAGGCATTTTATTATATATACTCGTATGTGTTAAAAAACTGACTCTATAAAAATAATGCTGATGGAGGTTGATTATTAAATTTATGTGCACAAACTTACCATTTAAAAATACATTACATAATTTATTATAAATATGTAGTGACATCGACGTCTTTTTTGAGAATGAAACCAGTTTAGAGTATTTAAAATGAAAATATTAAAATGTAAAAAACCGATCCTTAAACAGCCTTAACCCCTAGCAACAGGTTATAAATAGTTATATAATACAAAATAGAATTTTATTACAACTAAGAACAGTGACAACGTGCGGGGCATCTCAAATATTTAGCAGTTTTTCGAATCGCCGTCGGTCCGTTCGTGACTCAATCCGTTGAAAGTTACAGCCCATAAAAATTAGAAATAGAAATGCATGAACCGTGTGTGAATGTTAAAACTATTATAATAAATATTCAGTTATATAAAAGTCATGGAGATGTTTTCAAACAAAATGTTTTAGCCAATAAATTCTGTAAAGTTATCACTTATTGTTTTTTTCTAGAAACTTCTGGTAAGTTAAAGAAAACTTAAAATTAAATTAATACAAATTAAAATTGCTAAAGCTATGCCTTTGTTCAAGTTTTCTTTTACTAAACTTTGCTAAATTCAATTGTTCGTAATGAAATGAAAATGTTATATATTTAGTTGGCATATAAAATTCAAGCCTTTCTCCAAAGTCCTCTGTTTCGATTTGTTTACCTCCATTGTGGTAAGTTTATCCACGTGACTATATTATGTACGAAAGTAAATAATTTCTTAAAATAGGTCAAATGTTAAATTCTCTTACTTTGTTTTCCTCTGTTTCGTGTCACGCACAAACATATTTCATTTATAAATAAGTTGAGTGGAACAAATTTTATTACCAACACATAACTAACGCATTGTTTTTATTTTGAGAGTGGTATGGCGTAATTCACCCATCGTTGCAAATGGCGGCGCTGAGGAGCGGCAACGTCGCACTATTTATATTCTACACTGCAATACCAAAAATAAACCTTATCACTCTTAACGTAAGACTTACAATTGATTGAAAGCCGTTCCCGTTAGCGAAACGACAACGCACTCGTAATTTTATCAACGGTTCCGAGCTATCTCTTATCAAATGTAAAATTTCTTACAAATGCGATTGTGAGATCGTCAAAACAACGAAAAGGCGTGCGCGATAAACCATTTCAACCGTTAAACTCAGTTTTGTGGAAAATTTACTCTATTCCTTACCTTTCGCTATTTTATTCTAAATGACAAAACTTTTGTTTATTTATTTATTACTAGCGACTCATCCTCGCTTCGGTCGGGTTCGTCCCTTGATTGGTTCCCAAAACAATTTTTCATCCCCATTTTCACCCCTTTAAGGGATGATTTGCTGGACAAATCCTATGTCCTTCAGGGTCTCAAACTATCTTATTACCAAATTTTATCTAAATCGGTTCAGTAGATCCAGAGATTACCCCCTACAACCTCACAAACTTTACCTCTTTATAATATTAGTATAGATTATAATAAATTATAATAAACATTGTATTTAGTATAAGTGGGCAGCCTTTACTGCTGTAATTTTATTATGACGTAGTTCGTATTTCCGCCTTTGCCACTCATACTAAAGTCCCATACCATAAGAAAGTCCCGTTAAGATCGGCTCAGGTGTTTCGGAGATAGAAGAGTACAAAAAGATAGACATATTTCTTAATGGTTGTAAGAGCTTTTATGTATTTATATATTATGCAAAGAAGTACATATATTATAGGCTGAGTATAGACTACAGGTACATATTTAGATGTAGACACTTTAATTTTATTAATAAAATGTATAAATAGAAATCCATACTAATATTATAAATGTGAAAGTGTGTTTGTTGGTCCTTCTTTCACGTCGAAACGGGTTGACGGATTGGAGTGATTTTTTATGTGGAGATAGTTGGAGTGCTGGAGAGTGACATAGGGTACTTTTTACCGCAGGGGATTATCTCATTCCCACGGGAAAACACGTTATAATACAATAAAAAAATATGATCAGAATTACTTGAAACTTGAAATGAAATGAAATGAAATATTCTTTATTGCACACCATTATTTTACATTATATAGTTGAAACAGATTAAAGGAATAAAGTACAATAGGCGGCCTTATCGCTAGAGAGCGATCTATTCTAGGCAACCTTTGGGTAGAGAGAAAGAAGAGAGAAGGAAGGGGTGCAAACAATCTTAAAGAGAGATACAATAAATACATACATATACAAACAGATATATACATACATACATACACACATACATACATACATACATATATACATACATACACACATATAAACATTATACATATAAAATAAAATATGACACCATTTAGCACTTATAAGTTAAGATAATACTTAACTAATAATAATTAACTTGGTATTAATGCTCTTCAATAAAATTAAATAAATATGTGTTTTAGCATTTTTCGAAACTTATCCTATAAGGGGGTAAAATATTGGAAGTTTGTATGAAACTACCTTTTTTAGAGATTTTTTTTTAGTTTTAGCACGAGCGAAGCTGCGGGTTCTGCTAGCTATATTTTTATACATACATAGGTATAACATATTATACACACAATAGGATATTGTGACTTACTTATAACATGCGCATTTCTAGTCTAAAAATATTTGATTAATATAATAGATACCTACTTGTAATCGTACATTTTTCCAGGATAAAAAGTAACCTATGTGCTTGCTATTCCAGACTATAATCTATCTCTGTGCCAAATTTCATCCAGATCCGTTCAGCCGTTCTGGCGTGATTGAGTAACAAACATCCAAACATACGCACAAACTATCATATTTATAATCTTTATATATATAATTCTTCTGTGAGTGTGTATGTCACTGAACTTCTCTCAAACGACTGGACCGATTTTGATGAAATTTTTTGTGTGTGTTCAAGGGGATCTGGGAATGGTTTAGATTCACAATTTGAATAATAATTTTCATCAAAAAAATTATTAAAAAAAGTTTGAAATTTTCAAATTAAAGACGTGTAGACAGGACAACGTCTGTCGGGTCCGCTAGTATTAATATAGATTAGTAGGAGGGTAGGATAAAATAGGTTAATTAATCTTAAAAAAAATATTTTCATTCATAAATTATACTAAGCGAAAGTCTAACGACATGTTGCTATTTAGTTATTTTTCCTCTTTGAACGCTGTTGAAGTAACAAATTTCGCAATACAGTTTCATGCAAGAATTCCGCAACGAATATCGAACGGGCTGATTGGCACTTACGAAGCATTTCCCATGGGAGAGCGAAATCCCTATTCATTTTCGTACAGCATTTTCGACACGACTTTTGCTTGTAAAATCCTTTAGAAGTTTATATTTTTAATTATGTTTCATACTAGTTTGTGTCGATGACTCCGTTCGTGCAATGCTACTTAGCCTGTAGAGTGTAGACCAGCCATACTCATCCTTTTTTTTTATAGGGGCCACAAATACGTTTCAGTCATGGTCTGTTTTCCCTTTTTTCTTTAAACAGAACTTCTAGATTGGTATCGTTTTCAAAATCGATGAACTCATCAAACAACTCTGAGTAATTACAATTTAAAACGGAAGCCAACTCTGAGATGCAACTTCAGATGGGCCAATAACAAAAGCCCGGCGGGCCGCAGGTTGAGTATAGCTGGTGTATAGAGTGTAGACTGTATATCAAAACGATACGCAAGATTAAACGAAAGTTTAGAATAGTTACAGAGATTATTGTTCACATGCAAACAAACATACAGTTATTAACTATCAATAATTCTAAAAGATTTATTATTTTTAAAATGTTAAATTTTAAACTTAAAACAACATATACATATACATAGCATTATAGGTTATTTCATCAGTTCATTGGAAAATATTAGAGGCTGATTTATTTATAATGAAAAGTTTTATTTTAAAATTCAACTCCACTATTAGTTTTCTAACTGTAAGTTAATTAAAAATATGAGCTCTAACTTTTACAGCCAGGTTCGATTATAAAATATTTTATCGATTGTGCTGATGGAAACTATGAACGGAATTAATTCTATTTGTAATTTGAAAATTTAGTTTTATATTAAGTAATAAAAAAAATACGATTACGTCACGTGGTTATTTGCACTTGATTTGTTCCTAATTACTAGTTTAAAAAAATATTATCTATGTGTCTGGGATGACTTTCAAATCTATTCAAATTAAATTTTAACAAAAAGAAGACTTAATAAAGAGTTATTTAGGTATTTATGTAATTTTGATTAAGGTCTAGGTTTAGGTAAATTATTTTTTGAGCGGAACCCTAATACTTTTACTGAAATA